GTCTTTTTTCATTTCTTCAGCTTCCTTGAGTCATTCATTAGTTCGGCACGGTCCACCATAAGAAAATATTGCTCTAGAATTAACCTCTCAGAGTCTACCCAATGAATCATTGCATTTGGTCAGTATATATTTTGGTGATGACTACCACCAATTATCAACACATTCGTGCAACTGGAATGTATTCATGTCCACCTTGTGCACTTCAGGCACTTTATATCTCGAAGTTTCTTCTCAACAAGCATATTGCTCAATCTGGTCCACCGTACCATTGATGATATGAGGGCATGTTTCTAGAAATTGATCCATCACTTGATATATTATTCTTCTAATGGCCCTCACCACCCGTAAGATTTTAATTCTAGCATGAATATATATGTCTACGGTGACCTAAATTTATTAAAATTTATACACATTTCTACCAATGGATTTGCTTGAGTTTCAATGGTGGCAACAAATTGTACATGCTGAGTTGTTTGTGATGCGGCTGTGAGGATTATTGAATAGCTTGAACTACCTTCATGATTTGAGCTACAACACTGACTTGTAATGTCTGTTTCTATTTAGTTTACCACATCCACAAGACTTCTCATATCAAGAATTGGTGTTTGGATAATCTCATAGGGCTGAGTAGGATCTGAACGATGACTGCTAGGCGAGTGAAGTCTTCGAGGGATAGGTATGATCTCTATAATAGCTATCGATTCATTTGTTGTCCGAGCAACAATATTATTTTTTTCTCTTTGGAGTCGTTGTAAATAATTAAAATTTACACAAAATCAAAATAGACTACATAACAAAATAGTTATTATTAAAATAATCTAGAATAACCAACCCCCTTCCTAGTCCTAGAAAGAGGAGATCTATTGAATGCAAAATATATGTTTTGATACCATTATGTTATACCCTAGGTCCGGATGATAATTCAACCCGACAATGCATGAAGCAAGTAATGAATATATAAGTTTGTTTTATATTCTAACAAAAAAACTTGCATACAAATAATAACTAAAATAAGAAATAAAGATAAATTTTATTCTATTTCATAAATAAGAATTCAATAACTGATATAATTGAAAGAAAAATAATAAGCTAATTGAAGAAGAAATTGAAATGACAATGGATAAGCTGCTATCCAAACTGAGAAGAGAATTCAATAACTAATGCAAAGATTGCAAATATTAAAAGTAGGTGCAGTTTTAAAATAATTGTTTTTGTGGAGATTGTCATTCAAGTGATCTGATAAAATATGGTATACAAAAATATCAATAAGTGAGTTTGAAAAGTCAAACTCAGTAAATAGCCACAATTTACTAAAACTTAAATAACAATGTACTGGGTATGCAATATTAATAATGAAACAAGATGATTTATTATCTGCATATATAAGGGTCCGTTTGGTTCGGCGTTCTTGCTGCTGCGTGATTTATTATCTGCATATATAAGGGTCTGTTTGGTTCGGCGTTCTTGCTGCTGCGTGGTGCCGCCCCGCACCTATTAATAAAAATATCAATGTTTGTTTCGGCGTGGCTCCCGCCGCTTCCCGCGGTATCGAGCGAAAGATGAAAGCTAGGTAAGGCCTGCTGCCCAACTTTCGAAAGCATTTTTTACCCCTGGTGCCCCTTTGCCCTAGAACGCGAGACTTGCGAGCTCGTCGTCCCTTCCCGTCGTCTTCTTCCGCGAGCTTTGTTCTTGTGCGTCTCCTTTCCTATTTCTCTTCCTGTTCTCATGATCTACCAGCAAGGGTATGAAATATTGTTCTCATCTTCCTTCCTCTGCCTCTTCTCGAAAGGTTTCCTTAGATCTTGAAGTTAGGTTTTTTCGTTGGCTTTTCGATCATGGAAAATATATATCGTGGTCCTATTTTACGTATCCTGGAAGATATATGGTGATGCTATCCTATTAGAAGGAACATTTTAGGGTTTTCTTAGAAAGGATTATGCTATCCAGTTACAAGTTTTAAGGTTATGCTACCCTGTTAAAAGCTTTATGGTATCCTTTTAAAAGTTATTTGCTATCCTGTTGGGTTACGGTAAAACCTGTGTTCTGTTTGGGTTGGGTTGAAAGCCTAAAGCATGATTCATGCACCTGTATATTGGTTGCTTCCCTTGCCATTTACTCATTTCTCAAAATGGTACTAATTGCAGAGCTCTTAAATATGACCTCTGCAGGTTAAAGGGCTTATTAATTTAGATAAAATTGTTCTGTCTTACTTGAGGAAGGTTTCATGTGGGATGGAATCTCTTAACATGTTTGGATGACCAAAATCTTTTACATATAAGCAGCTTCTCTCAAATCATAGCTTATGTCTGTGAGTTAATTGATATGTGTTTATGTAATTCTGCACTGTTATCGATTAAAGTTTGGGATTAACAGAAGTCATGTATCCCCATGAAATCTTTCGTTATGTAAACGATGAATTTTTGTTGTGATATATAACATAAATGGATACTTCAACTCGCAGTTTATTTTTTTTCGCAATATTTATGTTTACATATCTATGACATAAATGAAAAATTAATATATTTTTGTTTGACCATCAAATATTGATATTCATAACTTTTTATATGTTAAACCCTCAACGAATATAACAACATTCCTATAACAAGTCTTTTATTTCATATTCTCACCCCTCTAACAAGTAAATATTTTAAAATATAATAATCAATCATATAAATTTATTACATAACTATTAATAACTAATTACCCTAAAATATAATTTATTACATTATTAATACGTTGAAGTTTTACTAATTTATTACAGAATAAATTTTGCTTTTGGAATTTAAAAAATTTCACTGTTACATTCATCTTTTAAACATTTTAACATATGAGAGCAGAATTGTTATATAAGGACAGAATTGTCATTTTTTCAGAAACAGCTGCTCTGCAGTTATTTTCACACAACTGCACCAAACAAAACAATCAGCTTTCCCGCAACTGCGCTGGGCAGCTTTCTAGGCCTGCGCAGCTGCAGTTGAAAAGCTGGGTAGCTGCAGCTGCGCTAAACAGACCCTAAGACTATCAGGTAAAAGTGCTTATCGAATTATTATTAAACCTTAATAATAATATGAATATGATCAATCATTTAAAAGAAATATGCAATCATTCATCATCAATTGTATATATTTCAATGCATTCATTTTTAATTCAATCAGTTATTACTTGCATAGGACTTCACAATATTTTATTATTCAATTTCAGTTCAATTTATATTTATATAGTTAGTTTTATCAGACACTCTGAAACCAAATAGATAAACACTAACAAAAATAAACTCAATAATTTTCTTGTAGAATTATCACTCTGTGGGCTAGTTTGTCTTGTTATCCAACTTCCAAAAGGATTCCATTGACATACATATCATTGCATAAACATACAACTTCAAATTTTTTAATAGGTAATTTATAATTATATGCCAAAATTAAAGGAATTTTGCGTGAGAGAAAAAAACAATGAAATTTAATGGTAGATTATACGAGAGGTGATTCGGGAAGGTGTCATGCAAAAAAAGGAAATAGAATCGCTTGATTCACGCAATCTATGAGGTAAGGCTATGTGGCTAGAGTCAGTCGCAGGTGAGGACGTTGGTTTGGTGCGGGAGAGTCCGATCGACTCCAACGCAAAGAGGAGGGAGGGGGGGGTGGCGGCGAAAGTTATAAAGTTTAATTTAGCATTTTCTCTAACTCGTTGGATTTGGTTAGAGTCATCTTTCTCTCTTCTTGTGGTTGAATCCTACATTGTGTGATCTGATTTATGAACTTAGTTTGAACTCATACATAACCTCTTTCAATGATAACTATAAATCATACTTACATGATTTGAGTTATGCAAGTTTTTTTTTTTTTGCTTCTAAAAAATTTGAGATAAATTTCAATTTTCATTAATCTTACTATTTTAGATGATTATATATCTATATTTCTTATTTTGTATCTATTTAACATTAAAATCTCAACTTGATTGCTTGTTTTAAGCTTGTATGGAGCCTATTGGCCTTGAGTTGACATGGTAAATGTTATCAAATGAGAGCCAGATGCTCGCCCAACCCCCTTAACCCTTGAAAACTTTCTAGGCAGGTGCTATCATTATGGTGTTGCCGGTTCCGCCTTTGTAATATGAATTTTTTTTTTGTTTTTAAAGCATAGATAATAATATTATGAAATGATTAGTTACAAATATAATGATAGGGACGAGAGTTGGGTTTATGAGGAAGATGAAATAGAGGGTTTTAAAGATTTGATTAGCCTTACTCCATGGAAGCTAACAACTTGTTTTTATTCACATTCTTTTGAGCACTTTGTTTTAGACAATATATCTGACAAAGTTTTATTATTTCGGTATTTGGAAGGACATCTTAGAAAATTATATTTTTCTAACATATTTGAAGAGTTTATTATGATGGTTATCCTATTGTACAGTCTTAAAAGTATTTCTCATAGTTAAAATAGGTAAATATTTTTAGCTTTGAGCTTCACTGAGGCAAAACACAAATGCTTCAGACATTAGGCGACCATTTTTCCTTGTAGGCGTCAGTGTTTTTAATAGCGTTAGAAATTTAAACTTCATTTTGTTTGCTTGTTTTATTGAGTTTTAATTGGGCTGTATTTGGATTTTTAGAGTCTCCTTCTGAGAACTAGAATGTTAGAAGAATAATATTTGACGACAAAAAAAAAATAAAAAAATAAAAATATAAATAAAAAAAAAATAAAATAAAAAATCTTGAAGTTTTATGTATGATGGACCCTTTAAAACTTGGTTGGTTTGCTAATATGAAGGTAATAAATGAAGCTGGTAAATTATAAAGCAGAATAAGCAATATAACATTTTTTACAACATAGATATTATTTATAAAATAAATTCAGCTGCAAAATTATACGATAATCCTGTCATCCATCTACTGCTGTGTGGACAGTGAAGACAGCGAAGCTTAAACGTGCTCTTATTTTTGTTTTAATTTTTTATCTTTTGTTTCACACATTATTTTTAACGATAACCTTTACGAGCAGGAAGTGCATGCAATTCTTCAAGATTGACATTTGATGGTGTTGATTTGATGGGCGAGAGGTTAGCTGATGAGGTAAATATTAGTTGTGATACCAGCCTATCCTACTTAGTGATTACTTCTATGACACATTTTACATTTATACTCCATCTTATTTTTAATTGCTTTCTTAGGAATTTTTATCACATACCCCTAAGAATTTGTAGTTTTTAATAAAACCTTGTCTAGCTTGTATCTGTTATAGTTCCTTCAGTGCTTTCCTCTTTTTTGGAAAGATTTATTTGGATTCTGTACGCCCAATAACTAAAATTTCTTCAGTGATACATTTGTATGCATTGTTCTTGTTTTAGGTTGTCTAAATCTTGTAATAAAACAATTAATGGCGCTAAAATATTGAAGTATACGCAATAGAACCATATGAAAGTAAGGATTCATTACTGTTAATGCACACTTCTATGGACCAAGAGAAATTCTTCGAAGTAATAATGATTTTGGTGTTATACGTGCCATATGGCATTCATCTATAGGTATTATGTATCGGATTTGAACGTTTAGTAATCATTGTCTTGACAAAGGTCTATATATATATATTTTAATCGGTGCAGGTTCTTTCAGTTGTGAATGAAAAGCGTGGTATACTGAAGATATCTTTCGTGGCACATTCATTGGGAGGTTTGATAGCAAGATATGCTATAGGCAGGCTTTATGAACCTTCCAATAGTTTCTCTTCTCCTGTTACTACCAACCAATTAAAGGAAGATGATAACTGGCAAGGCACTATAGCTGGGTTAGAAGCTATGAATTTCATAACATTTGCCTCACCCCACCTTGGTTCGAGAGGTCATAAACAGGTATAATCAAGAATAATTTTACATTATTTTTTTTAACGTTGCTAAATTATAGTCTTCAATTTTTGATTGGTCTTATTGATGAATTTGGCTCGGATGCAGCTAACTGCATTGACAAATTCCAAGAGATCATCATAATGTGCCCTACCGACTGTTTGGGTTCAATTTAATGAATCTTCTTTCTCTATTCATTCTTTTGAGTGCTAGTGGGGCTTTTATAATCTTGAAAAAGAATCGATTTGTGGAAAATTGATGATGGGCTGTTGAGATGGTTTCCTTATTGATCTTTCTCTTCCTTCTCTTGAATTTGTCTTTGAATTCGCCATTAATAAAGAGATGAATTGCAGATCAACAAAGCTAGGAAGAGAGGTTTGTATAAATCAATCAAGAGATAATTTGTAGAATTATTTAATCTCAAATTTTGGGAGTTTTGGCATGAGGACAGAGAATATGCTGCTGGAAGAGAGTGCGTGGATAGAAGGAAATTGTAGGGGTGAGAGAGAGAGAGAGAGAGAGAGAGAGAGAGAGAGGGGTTTAGGACAAAGGAGTGTGCTATTGGGAATGAGTTTCTTATTAGAATAGTGGAGGAACTTTAGGAGAATGAGAGGTTACGGCTTGTGAGCTTGGATGAACTAAGTCTAGAACATATGATCATGGTGGTGGAAATTTTCTAAGCCAACCCCAATGTACGATTGCTAAAATTTTGGTAGCGAAGAGTTATTATGACATGGGCATTTTTTTAATTCTAAGAAGCATAAATACATCCAAGTGCCTTATATGATTATGTCGAATAGCTATCAGGCATGACTTTTCTTTGCCACACCCAAACACGCCTGACATGCTTGCAATGATGTCAAAATTATTTTGAGATAAAATTAGATTCTGAGAGTTGGGACACAGTTTGACACAAGGATCTCACGACTTCGCCCATGAGTTTATTATTTTCAATACAGGAATGAATGGTAAGACGATAGAGTTGTAGTATTTTAACATTTACAATAATCCATAACAATAATTCAAACAATAAAAAACCACTAAACCTGAATATTTTTAAGACATTATCTAAGCACACATATCAAACTTGCAACAACAATTTAGTAATAAAATTTAAGACAATATAAAATTATTTTCAGATACATATTTTCATTAAATTATCTTCTTCTATAAAAATACTCTTTTATGTCAGTTAGTTAACTCAGTTATGTGTTTTTTGTTATAACTCGTTAAATATCATATTAAGTTCGACCACTTAATGAATAATTATAATTCCTCTGGGTGCTAATTTTATGCTTATGATCTACGGACATGCTATAAATAATAATTAAATATTATAATTTCATTTTATTAAAATTTTTAAACATTTAATGATCCGACTCATTGTCAATTGGCTGCTGGCATCGTCTTCTGCATTGATAAACCTATGAGATTCCCTTTTTTGTTCTGCTCTTCATCTTCGTTTCTCCTGCTCTTTGCACCACTCTCATGTGTTTGTCTCTCCTTGCTCGCTTTCTCTTTAATTGTCGCTCAAGCCCAAAGTTGTATCCCCATTGGCTTTGACTCTCTTGTTCTGTCTCCTCCCTATTGCTCATATTCTGCGTTGATAGGATCAGGTCATGAATCAAAATGACATAATCACTTCATGTCTACAGGACATTACACTAAAACTGCTAGTTTCTGCGGGCTACAAAAATTCTGAGTGCTCCGCACAACTCTGTTTTTTTTGTTTTGTCAAAAAAGCTTTTTTGGGGTCAAATTTTCAGAAACAAATTAGATTGTTAATAAGTCACCACCCATAGATTTCTTCCTCATTTTGTGAGGATTTTTTGATTTGGGGTTTGAGGTTTCCATAGGCTCAAACCTTTATGTTTAATTACCCATGCCAATAACGGGAGGGCATTTTTGATTGAAACTAGTCATTAATAATAGAATATTTAACATATAATAACAACAGACTTAGGAGTTAGGATTTTAAATTACAAAGTCTATCAGTTGAAGCTTAAAACGGATGGTGGGGAAATGAAATCAAAACCCAATCAAGATCCCATGGTTTCGTCATCCCGAGTCATCATCATCTCTGATCTACTTAGTTAGAGGAGGTAGTTGACACAAAATAACAGAAGGGTTTTTGTCAGCATCCGTGGTTTGAATCGTTCAAGTAATCATTGTAGATATGGGGTGGATGTTTGTCTAAGGAGACAAATTTAAATCAATCTTAGCTAACAGAAGGTTTTATGCCAATCAATTGTATCTCATTATTCTCAACTAAAATGGTAGAAAACTGTTGGGGAACATAAGTTATGTGGCCGTGATCTCAATATAAAAGTGCATTTGATGACAACCACCCGGTCAGAGGGCTTTGATCGTAATTGCTATTTTGGGGTACCATTTGATGGCAAAACCACACAGACAAGATTCAGGTCACACCTTTACTGACATGCGATTGTTTTTATTATGAACATATGAATACACTTAATATGACATTAGCTTTTTGTGAGTTGAAGTCAGTCAAAAAATTTCGAACCTCGACAAACTATTATGGATGATAGATGAGATTTGCTTAAAGTCTTAAGTGATTTAATTTTAACTTGAGTTATTTAGTTGATTATTTTGAAAATATTAATTTAAGAGATTGACCCATCCGGTTGAAATATTTATCAACTCGGCCATCATCAAAGATTTAAGCATTTAAATTTTTTATATTTGAAGGGGCGTTTAATTTCGCTAGTTTAAACTTTTAATTATGAGTTTTGTCGATTCCAATCATCACAAAGAGACCAGACTAGGTGATTTGGACTTGTAAATTCTTATCTTTAGGATTTAGATATTTATTTCGAAATTACTAGACTCATCAATTCCAATCATTGCGAGGACGATCAGACTAGTCGGGTGCGACTTACAGCTCTATCCTATAGACAATTCAGTCAGATTTGCCTGCACAACATTCTCTAGGGGTGTGCCTTCGGTTGGTTTAGATGGATTGATTTGTAAAATTTTCAAACCCAAAGGAGCTGAAATCCAAAAACCAAACAATTGATTCAAATTAATTTTGAACAGAACCAAACTAGTCAAACCGAACTAAAATTCGGTTTGATCAGTTCCGTTCTACATAAACCGAAATAAATAAATAAATAAATAAATAAATATAAATATATATATATATATATATTAAAAATAAAAAAAAATACTTACAAATGCAATGACATAATTACAACAAATCATATTCAATTGATTAAAATAATATGATTACAAGAAAATCAAGTTGCAAGAACAAAACTAATGGTTTAAAATTTCTAAAATAATATTCAATTGATAAAAATAAATTATAAGTTACAATGCTCTGTAGAGAAGACCTCTCAAGTGCACGGGACTAACTATGCTAGACAAATTGAAGTAAATTTAAACACATCAGATCGAATATGGATGAGTGGAACTTACCTCATATGGAAGAAGATCAAATATGATTTTTAGTTGCCCCGACTTTTGATGAACCACTGTAGGTCCTTGCTCTGAAGACATTCTCCTCCTAGTATCAGCTTAGCAAATCCATTCAAAGGACCAAAATCGAAGATATTAAAATTAAACCAATATCTCATAATGAGATGTGAGATGACAAATAAGCTTTCATAAACTCCAATAGAAAACTACAAGATCAAGTTTCACCGGTACAATATGAAATGATCATGATTCACATGATCCCAAACAAAAGATGGTAAAAGCTCAGAGCCAATCAAACCATACATTGAAACTCCATATAAAGACAACAAAGCATCATAATAACTTCCTAGAATCAAGCTATAAGAACTTGTTTTTTAGAATTAAGCATGGCTCACCGAATTCTAAGAACAAAATTGATATCGGAGGAGAAAGCCCAAACCACAAAAGAAACTTTTATTAACCGGAAAAGAAGGTTTCAACACACGCAAACTGGAAATAACATCACTTAAACACAAAATGACTCAAACAAACACCTCAAGAGTGTATTCCAAGGGCGGTGGAGGTTGGCTAGGTGGATCGGGATGGTTGGCTAACAAGTGGGGAAGGCTGTATAGAGAGCGGGGGAAGGCTGTATAGCACTGTCGGCACTAAAAAGTTGGGGGAGTTGCCCGTAAGAAGCTGTCGGTCACCGAAATTGAAATCTCGCCCGCTTCGGAAGGACGTTTAATTTATATATAAATTTAAGTTTAGAAAAATATGAAATCAAACTGACCTCATAATCTTCACAGTTTAAATGAAAGAGCACTCTACCTCAAATCCTGTAACTATCCCGAGGGATAAACACAAGATTTGAGGATGAAACTCGATCAAATAAACTAAAAAATATATGACGTCCGTTTAGTATGCGAATCCATTTTATTTGCCGACAAATTCCCTTATTTAATATGAAAAATTAAATAGGATTTATTTCAAGCTGGGTTCAGAAAAACTTCCTATAAGGGCAAATTCCTATAGTTAATTATATCTTAGACAACTGTAGTCACCTAAGAGTACTCTCAATAAAAATCAGGAAAAGTTATCTTCAAGGAAGTTAAAAGGTTTGGACTTTCCAACCAAATCGGACAAAGAGGTGTGCAAAGGGGAATTGTTCAAACTTGGAACATTTATTGTAGAGTCCAAAGGAGGAAGAATTAGGGGATGTCACAGATCCGAAGAAGAACCTCGTTGACTTCCCAGTCTACCCTATGGTTTGACTTCAGTTTCGAGGAGAAATTATTCAAGTGTTTAATCCTCCAATTTTATTTAATTAAGGCTTACACTTGTATGAAACGATCACACAAATAACCTAGAAGATGTGAGGATTTAGGTCGTGACGGACGACAACCTCGGAATCCTAAAACGAGTTAGGGCTTAGATTGCACAGTAGAGCTGTACAAATGCCTAAAATAAAAGTTGAGGATTTATGTCGCACCACGCGAACATCCTCGAAATCATATGAATTGTTATTTATTTCTAAGGAATGAATGATTTAGCTGGGGAAGACATGTTTTGCTGTTGAAAATGACCGT